CAATCCGACTTTGAAATATTTTCAATCGAAAGAAAAAAGGCTATTAAATTTTAAAACAGAAATACAGGCAAAATGGCTTATCGCTAACGAATAGGCTAGGAAATTCATTAATGAAAATTATGTAGCATTAGAATTGTAAATTAAGCATGAAGGATTTAAAAAACCGGAAAATGGAAATAAATTTTTAATAGGTTGGTGGAAATTGAATAAATTAAAAAAATTTTGGTGACAATTGATGCTGCTTTCATTGACAAAATTTGGTGAAAAAAACTTGAGCTAATAACAAAGTAGACATATGCAGAACCAAGTATTCCGAAAATGCATTTTTTAAAAATAAATCATAACAACTATAGCCATTTAGATCTTAATTACTTATTCAACTAAAGTACAATAAACAAGTTGAATTTCTGTATGAAGCATAAATTTAAATTTTTAGAGTGCATCCTTGTGGTACTAATATGCATGTTATGGGGTGTGCAATAGACTTACCTCCACGTGGTTCACCCTGGGCAACGTATACTCATACGGCAAAAAAGCCTATAAACCGGCAGTTGACTTCAAACTACCATGACCCCACTGTATGACATATTCGACCACTTCCACAGTACTACATCACATTTTTTCTAAATTTTCAACCTTCGTCACTCTTCAGTACCCCTCCTCTCGACTTTTTTTTCACTTTGATGTTCCATCCCCTCTATGAAGCCTGAAATCAACTAAAGGGCTAATGATAACCATCAAAACGACTGCCATTTGATATAAATAAATAAATAATATGCATGTTATTGTTTGAGAATGGCTTAAAATGATAAAAATGATCAAATAACGGACTTAGTTGAAGGGTGTAATTGACAAAAATCACAGACTTGTGGTAATTTCAGAGGTGAATAAGACTAGAGTCGTTAATGTATATGCAGTAATTAGTTATCGCGTAGTAACAAAATACCAGCATTAAGTAATATGTTTACAAAGTCCAATAACGAAAATATCATGAATAAAATAATATTCAATTTATGTATAAAATTTTAAATTTAACTTTCGCCTAATAATATCTCTCATCCTTAAGATGAAAAGCATTTGTTTTACCTCTAAAAGAAACTACTATAAAAACTGGAAAGAAATTAATTTGCTAACAACCTAGGTTATAGTATCTTAAATTAGATGGTAAGTAAGATTTATTTATTTATTTCAAATGACAGGCGTTTTGATAGTAAGCATTAGCCCTTTAGCTTACTTCGCGTTTTACAGAGAAGAGGAGGAACATCAAAGTCGAGAGGGGGAACAGTAGAGTGATTTACAGATGTAAAGGAGACAGACAGACACAAAGGTAGAAAAAGATGAGGTGAGCGCTGTTGAAATGGTCGAATATAACATATAGTCTGGTCATTGTAGTTTGAGGTCAACTGTCGGTTTATAGACTTTCTTGCCGTATGAGTATACGCTGCCCAGGGTGCACTACGTGGAGGTAAGTCTATCGCACACCCCAAATAGTGGCGAATTAGATGTCAAGTAAAGTAAAATAAAGGAAATGTGGGAAGTAAGAGGCTTTTTTAACGAATCAACCTGAAGTCGACACATCAATGACATAGTATCACTCAGCATTAAGAGTATCGATGAGGTTAGCAACACAAGACCCAAGTGCGCATTTTCGGGTCCAAAATATTGCCAAATAGAGAAGAGTTTATGTAAACACTGAAGCGCATATTTGGTCATATTCGATCATTCAACCGCAACTTTCTCGTGATGCCCTTCGCTTTTATCTTCCATTTTTAATTTTATTGAAAATTCACAAAACGGGTCCACTTTCCCGAGTAAATGAGACCAGATTTACCAAAAAAGGTGTAAAATCAATATTAAATCAGATTCTGATTAGGCGAAAAGCACAAATCATCTGCTTGTAAATCTACTTCGATTGCCCCCCCCCCCACCCACCCTTCGATCGGTATAACTAGATTTAATGACGTTATGTCTGGTCAAAGGAATGCCAACAGTCTTTGATTAATTGTTACCGTCGCATCCTAAGATTACTGTCTTGATAATCCATTAGACAACATGGCATTATTTCACAAAGAGCGGCAATTCCTCCTCTGAACCCACATCTCATTCCTGTACTAAAAGAGCAAAAATGCACCCCCCCCCCTTAGGTAAGGCATATGATTCCATCTTGAATAATAGCACCATTCTATCCCACTCCAACAACCCAAGCTGATTGGCTTTCGTGACATAATCCTGCGCTTTTCATCTTCTTAAACCACTCGGTATTTAGAATAGATGTTAGAAAGGGTGGGGGGCAGCTGTGTTAGTGACTGCTAAAGAAACCCTGATTTGACATAAAAAAGGCGTATTCCTAATAGGAAAAAAAACTCCAACAGGATTCACGGAATTCGTCCCCCCCCCCCCCCAGCCAATAAGATGTCCTTCACACCTAGAACGAGGTATCTTTAGTTCTACTTTACTAACTCATCTGGCATCCAATCATTTCTTTACATTCAATAAGCGTTCGCATTACAAAAGGAAGCCAATGAACTATTCTCCCGAATTGGGAAAAAAAATAACCTATAAGAAGTTGTTGTAAAAGGTCATAAATACTAACTTCCAGTACGAATCGCCAATGTTTTTTTTCACTGCCACCGAAGAGTCAGAACCAGTTATAGTGAAATTCTGTGTATGGAAACAAGTAAACAAAGGCAAATCACACATCATCACAAACTAAATCCAATCGAAGCGATTTTTGTTTTGAAGCAAATTCCCTTTTAAAAAAGGGGGTAATGAAGTCAAAATTCATTGAAAAACTAAACACAGGTATGATTAAATGAAATGTGTGAAATTGAAATAGGGCTTAGTACATCAATACGTGCTCCGAAAAATCGAAAGCCTGTCTATAATTGTCTTAAAAGGGTAAAAGACCTCAATTGGTAGGTTGAAGTCGCCAGCGAAGTTTTCTTCCCATCACTATTAATTAAAAAAATGATAAAGAACTCAAATTTCTGATTTTAAAACAAGATGTTACCTGCTAACCATTAAGTAAAATCGACTAGTACTACTTAAGAAAATAGAGTGTTTAATAGTTGTCCCAAATCGTGGTAATTCTTGAGAACTTGTTTGAAGCTCATGTACAAAAGCAAACGTTAAATATTGAGAGGCGGTATAATATAAACCATGAAATTTCACCATCTGGAAATTTCCATCCAACCCACCTTCCGGTTCCTTCCTTCCACTCGCAGAAAAGATTCTCCCACTCATATTGCGGTAATACCTATGGTGATTTACAAAAAATTGCTTATTAAAAGGGAAATTTTGAATTCTTAATCAGAGGTAAAATTAAATTTCCAATTTTCGACACCTAATTATGATTGACCGATACAATAAGAAGGAGAAGCTTTGTGGAAGCCACAGCTCCTTCCCCCCCCAACCAACCACAGATGACCTCTCACCGCTCTGTCTCCCATAAAGAGGTCAGCATCGCTTTACGTGAAGTTATTGATTTATGGTTTTTGTTCTTTTCAAAAAAAAACGGGATAAGATAACATTAATCATGGCTGTACAAAATAAAAATCAATTTTGACTTGGAAGGCTGAAAATTGCAATTGAAAGATGTGTGTGTGTCAACATGAATGTACATGTTAATTAATTTCTAAATAGCATATATATAATTACTGCCATTAAATTATCTATTCAATGAAGCAAAGTGGGAGGATACACTGAGTAGACAAAAGTGCAGTCCACATTTGAGAATCTGGGCAAAGAGAAAAGAGCAGATGCCACAAAACCCCAAAAACTATTGTCTCTGTAGACATACACTTTACATGTACAGGGGCTTGAACAGCCTCGTGTAAAGAGAACAGTGTGAATAAAAGAACTTAGGGAGTAATTAATTCTTACCAGTAATCCATAACCAATAGTAGAATAGACTCTGGGACATAATGGAACTCCTTAACTCAATATATAAACGGAATCAATGTATACTACTTAAATTGCCTAATTGAGAGGTCTGGTGGAGAAGTGATGAAGTTTGGAGTTAAGTCATCCAATGAATATACAAAACGTAAAGGCTCAAAGCAATATTTACTCTCAAAGTGAAAGCAAACGTAAAATACAAGTACAATTAATTTGACGAAATTATGCAAAGGCGATACTTGAAGTATTTGATTTCACTATCTTTATATCATCTTGTCTAACTTTGTCTTCTGTCTAGTTAATTTTGCAGAACAATAAGTTAATAAAACTGCTCGGCTCAACAGTAATTAAGATAGAGCCAGAATCTGTTCTAGACTCAACTGAGCCATTGTCAATTTCCTTTTTTAATTTCTCACAATTAGAATCAACGTACATCGGCATTTTTAGAGACCTGACGCCTCACAGCCTCCAACTCGCGTTCGAGTCGTTGAATATGCTCATGGTAGTACTGTTGATGCATTAACTGCTGTGGCTGTTGATGTGATGCATCCATACCATCAGAGCTACCACCGCCGGAAATGACTGGAATAATTTCATTATTGTTGCCCGATGAGGAAGAGTGGAAAGCGTTCATGAGAGGAGGATTTTGCGGTGACGAAATAGGAAGAGTACTTCGCTCGCCCATCATAAGAGAGGCGCCTGATATGACTGGTTGGCCATTTTTCAATGTGGAGGGTTGGGATTCATCCTTGAAAAAAAAAAACGAAAAATTCGCAATTTTAATTACAAAATATCGACGCTACTTAGGTCTAACTGCTCTTAGGCATAAAAAAGACACGAATAATTCGATGTAGCTTAACCATCCACAGAGCAGAACCAGTCGGCGAACAAGCTCCTCATTACCTTGGACATAACTTTCAGCTTATGTAAACAGCAACGATTTGATAAAAGCTATGTTAATCTTGTCAGAATGTTCATTGTTATCCTGAAATGATGAGAAGAACGTGCACAGAGAAGGGGAGCCCTTTTAGGTAATTTTCTTGAGGCATAACTGTTTCCATTCTACTTTCATCTTAACCCTCGACAAAAGGTAGTATTCAAAGGTCTACCATGAGTTTATAATCTACAAAGGTGCTCTTTTAAAATGATATTTCCTAAATGCAACTCAAGACCATCATCAATGAACAAATATACTATGCAAGAGGAACTTTCTCCGCCAATTGAAGATAGATTCCAAAAGGTAAATTAAAAGAATAGTGGATAATGGTATGTTGATTATAAATAGCAGTGTTCCAACACCACCACATCGAGAAACTCGGATTTTGCCACTACATTTATTAGTCAAAAAATAATTATCCATTATGATTACTGGTTGCGCAGCGATCGACTTCCAGTTCAAAGATGATTATATTAATCACTGCATCGTCTACCCACCCGCTTAGAATAATCGGCTCGTATCTATTGGGATAGGATACGCTTAAAAATCGTCTTGACAACTTCTGGTTAATGGAATAGAACATAATAAGTACATCGGTTCGTAAGCTTTGGCTTTTGTTGCACGTACTTTATTGACAATCGATTTGAGGTGCAAATAAAAAGCAATGTCGAGAATAGCTTGACTCAAAACCGACGAAACGACCATATCCCCTATCCCAATGACGATTAACACTGGCCAATAAGGATGGTCACTGACGCAATTAGAACTCTCAACGAAAGATACCTATTAAAGTTAATATTCCATTCCAAAAAATCTAATATCTTATTTCACAGCCTAGTTTGAAGGTTTAATTTGAAAAAAAGTGCCTACATCAAACCACAAATCGAAAAAACCTATGTATAAGCACAAAATCACATGATCACAAAGTGTCCTGCAGAGATTTGTCATCAGGACAGTACGGAACATACGAAATTATTGGAATTTAGATACAATTCGTACAAGAATATACTACTTATAATGGGATTTGACAACAATCTTAGATCATGATCGAACTCGCATATCAACAATGTAGAGTCATGAAGAGTAAGAATTAATTGTGTATGAATCCAGTGACCTCCAAAAGTACACGAAATACGAACCCAAATAAATCAAAACAGAAATAGGAAATAAAAGTGCATAAGACTTAATTAATTAAAAATCGAGAGGTAGAAAGAAAATTGGGACAAAAGGACGACAGAAAATCGATTGAGTAATTGCAACATGGGACTCAGCAATTGGCGAATTAATTTCAGTGGTAATATGACTTTCATCGACACCTGCCTATTTAATTTCAAACCATAAGTTATGAATAAGAATGAAAAATTCTTTTATTAAATATACTGACACCTGGAATATAAAAGGACAGGAAGGGAATTGAAAAAGTAGTTCTATTTCGAAGGCTTTTGAATGGTTTGTGCTAGGATTGGGGATATGGAGCTAGCGTATTGGTTCAAAATTGAGGAAAACGAATTCATCAGGATCTTTAGCCCTTGTTTGCCTGAATTCCACTGGACAGCATCCAATCAATTAAGCATAAAATAACACCTGATTCTCTACGACGAGACATTGGTCGGCGCTACCCTTGTAAAAAAGGAGCATTACTTGGAAAACTGCTTAATTTGTATTTGCAAATCAGCCAATTGTGAGAACTATGCAAACTTTTATTGAAAACAATGGAGACATTTCCTCAGTTAAACAAATAAAGCGCGCACATATAAGTTCAAATTAATAATTCCAACGGAATGCATATAAAGTTGAGTATATTGCGAAAAAAGTATAGAAGGGAGTGAATAAATACGAGTGGAAGGTGTATTGGTACAAGAAGCTAAATCTCACAACAATCAGCTAACTTCCTTTAAAGACAAAGTTTAGTAGAAATAAACGTAGTGAAAGCGCATATTAAGGAGTGGTTAACAAATCATGCGTTCGCACTAAAATGAATCAATTCAACTTCTGTCTGAAGCAGAAATTTACTCAATCAATTAAAAAGTAAATTAACTGAGATGATAGTTGTTGTTTATGACACAATGAGTCAAATTCACGTTCAAGAAGTGCTTCCAAAACTAAGGGTGTGATTGTGTGCCCGTTTCTAAACTGTTTGATGGAAATTAAGTGGAAGGGCTATTTAAAAACATATTTCAAGCGTTAGACCAATACGATATTGATAGGAAATTGACCCAAAGCTTTGTTCTGCGCAGGAATTGAAATATAAATGCAGGTCATAGTTAAGTCAATTTCATGTAATAACTATAGCAGATCACACCATAACGAAATAAGCCACCATTCATTGATCGACCGGTTGTCTGAACAAATATAATTGAATAAGTCTCCTCCAATAACCACAGTCTAAATAGACACAATTCTTATAAATTTATACCAAATGTTGGGGTGTGGGATAGACTTACCTCCTCGTGGTGCACCCTGGGCAACGTATAATCATACGGCAAAAAAGTCTATTAACCGGCAGTTGACTTCTCACTTCAAACTACCATCACCCCCACTGTATGTCATATTCGACCCCTACCAGAGTACTCATCTTACTCTTTCTGTGTTTTTGCGTCTGTCTGTTTCTTTTACATCTGTGAATCACTCTTCTATTCTCCCTCCCGAATTCTTCTCACTTTGATGTTCCTCCCCCCTCTATGAAGCCCGAAGTCAACTAAAGCTTGCCATTTGGTATTTATTTATTTATTTATAACAAATGGTAGGCGTTTTGATAGTTATCATTAGCCCTTTAG